TAAGCGACATATGGATAACATATGTAGCTACATAGGGTAAGCGACATAGGGATAACATATGTAGCTACATAGGGTATGCGACATAGGGGTAACATATGTAGCTACATAGGGTATGCGACATAGGGATAACATATGTAGCTACATAGGGTAAGCGACATATGGGTAACATATGTAGCTACATAGGGTATGCGACATAAGGGTAACATATGTAGCTACATAGGGTAAGCGACATAGGGGTAACATATGTTGCTACATAGGGTATGGTAAGCGACATAGGGGTAACATATGTAGCTACATAGGGTAAGCGACATAGGGATAGTATATGTATTGAGTTTAGTTTCAGCTGTAAATATTAGGATTAGGGTAACTTTTAAGGGTTAATGTCAGAGTTAGGGGGTTACTTGCAAGAGTTACCTTAAGGGTTAAAGTAGGCCTAACTCTACATAGAGTTTATAATTTTTATGTTTTGTGCTTGATAAGTGGTATATACTGTAATTACCAGTTCACATATTTGTGGATTGGATGGGGTTTGAACCACATCCTATCCACATGACGTGAAAAAACATTGCTTCCTATGGTGCCTGTTCACATTTGTCCGATGCACTGGCGGTGCGGATTCAATGCGGATTCAGCGCAGCTTGAAAAAGAGTCCTGTATGATTTCTGAGCAGTGTCTGCAGGTTCAGATGCAGATTACAGGCTACTGACTTCTATGCGAACTGTTTCTAAACCATATATGTGTGAACAGGATAAGATCCTGAGCTAATCCTGTCCTGAACCTGATGTAATCCTGACTTGAACCTATGAACAACTACTATATCAACTAGCTCGGAAACCTGAGCTTCAATCTGCACCGCAGGTTACATAGTTACATAGTTAGTCTGGCTGAAAAAAGACAAAAGTCCATCCAGTTCAACCATTAAAAAAAAAAAGCTATAATCCTATACCCAGAGTTGATCCAGAGGAAAGCAAAAAAAAAAAACAGCAAAGCATGATCCAATTTGCTCCTGCAGGGAAAAAAATTCCTTCCTGATCCCCTGAGAGGCAATCGGATATTCTCTGGATCAACTTTACCTATAAATGTTAGTATCCAGTAAGTTATATTCTGTGTATCCAAGAAAGAATCCAGGCCTTTTCTGAAGCAATCCACTGAGTTGGCCAGAACCAACTCTTGTGGGAGTCTTTTCCACATTTTCACAGCTCTTACTGTGAAGAAACCTTTGAGATTACATTTCTTTTCCTCCAGACGTAAAGAGTGCCCTCTTGTCCTCTGTGATGACCTCAGGGAGAATAACTACACCGAGTTCACTATATGAACCATTGATGTATTTATAGATGTTGATTATATCCCCCCTTAATCTCCTCTTCTCAAGAGAGAATAAATTCAGTTCCTCTAATTTTTCCTCATAGCTGATCTCCTCCATGCCTCTTATCAGTTTGGTTGCCCTTCTCTGTACTTTCTCCAGTTCCACAATGTTCTTTTGGTGAATTGGTGACCAAAACTGAACTGCATATTCCAGATGAGGTCTTACTAATGATTTGCACAGGGGCAATATGATATCTTTCTCTCTCTGGAGTCTATACCTCTTTTAATACATGAGAGGATTTTGCTTGCTTTAGAAACCGCAGCTTGGCATTGCATGCCATTATTAAGCTTGTGATCTACCAGAACTCCCAGATCCTTCTCCACCATTAATTCCCCCAGTTGTACCCCCCCAGTATGTATGATGCATGCATATTCTTAGCCCCCAGAGTGTGTGAATCAGCTCTAATGCAGGCAATACACGAATCGAATTTCAAACTAATTTTCTTTAGAAAATCTGATGGTGCTACCATTGATTTCGAAATTCAACCAACCAAGCCTTCAATTTCATGTCATGTTGCTACGGAAAAGAATTTTCGTGGCCAAAAATTTTAATTTCTTTCCAGGCCACAGCTCAAGCTCATTTCTTTTTTGATGATATTTCTTGCACAATTTTCCCATCATTGATTAGAACTTCCTTTGTTTTTCAAAACATTTCCAACATGCCCGATCACTCAAATTCGATGGTTGCATGAAAATTGGCCCTTTCTGTGGCCCACTAATGGTGCAAAATTCAAATAAAAATTCTTTCGAAAGGAAACTCTTTTGGAATTTGACCCGTGTATGGCCGGCTTAAGTGTGACACATCCGGATATTTATGACATCTCACAGAGGTCACAGCACTCCTCCTGACAATACCATCATCTTTCTTGTTCTCATGAAGACCAGCATCATCTTTGTTCAGGGCCAGTCAGGGGCGGACTGACAACTCATGGGGCCCCCAGGGCAATAGGGGATCATGGGGCCCCTGTGTCCTTGCCCAAACTCAAAAAAGCCTATGAAAAAGGTACCAGGGGCATCTCATGGGGCCCCCTACTGACCCCGGGCCCTCGGGCAGTGCCTGAGTTTCCAAATGGTCAGTCCGCCCCTGGGGTCAGTATCTACTTTCTGGACTATGTTGCTTCTGATCACGCAATTATTAAAATTCTAGTACCTGTGAAGTCCTTGGCTGTGTATGCACATACTGACTTACACCAATCACTTCCCTGCTGCTGGCTCTCACCTTGTGACTTCTTCAATTGTTACAGCAGACCCAGAGAGAGAACACTAGTGGAGAAAAGACTGAAGAAATGCTTCCTTTGGTCTGCAGCAGACCCATGACATCTTTTTTCCTGGTCCCTCATTTCAGCCTAGACACAGCTGTGTGTCTGGAGCACAAGGACTGCTTTTTTAGTGCTAAATAGTACAGTATTATCATTATTATTATTATATACAGTTTGCTCAGCGCATTACGACATTTACAAGTATAAAGGATAGGAGGGCCTGATCCTGGGAGCTTACAATCTAAGAGATCATATCATAATGTATAGCTTTATCACACTGTGCATTGCAAGGATGTCAGGATTTTTTTTTTATGCAGATAAATGGTAACAGTAGGAAATATACTAAGAAGTCCTCTTTTTTAGTGTTAGCGTTGTTATTTAAAGCGGAATTAAATCTCTACCAATTTTTTTTTTTTGGGCCCCAAGAATTTTTAGCCCTAAAGTGCTAATATGCACAGCATTATGGCAGACCTAACTGTGATTCCCCTCCAGTGCTGCCCTGTCAGTGCTCCCATTGGTCACGGGTGCTATCATCTTCTCCTGGTCTTCCTTCCGGGTTCTAACTCTTCAGCTACATCAATCACATCATCTTGGCACAGAGCAGTGCTGGAAATTTAGGCTAAGTTGTGCATGTGCTGCTCATTGTGCAGAAAAGATGACAGGCAGGGAGAAGGTTTTATGATGACCCAAAACATCTCTTCTTTAACAAAAATCCTACCTGTCAGCATTTATTTTTTGGTTTAACAGCTTCCATACCGGGCACTTTTACCCCCTTCCTGCCCAGGCCACTTTTCAGGTTTCAGCACTCTCACACTTTGAATGACAATTGCGTGGTCATACAACATTGTACCCAAACTAAAATTTTATCATTTTCTTCACACCACAGAGCTTTCTTTTGGTGGTATTTAATCAACGCTGGGATTTTTATTTTTTGCTAAATTACCAAAAAAAAAATGAAAAGTTTGAAAAAATCCCACATTTTTCTTTCTGTTATAAAAATTTGCAAATAAATAATTGTTCTTCATAAATTTAGGCCAAGATGTATTCTACTACATTTCTTTGGTGAAAATAACCCAAATTAGTATTTATTATTTAGTCTGCAGGAAAGTTATAGATTTCACAAACTATGGTATATGTCTGAAAATTGATCAATCCTGAAGTACTGACAGCCAATCTAATTTCTTGAGGTCCAAGAATGTCAGAACCAGGGGGGACTGACCATTTGGAAACTCAGGACCTCAGGACTGCCTGAGGGCCCGGGGTCAGTAGGGAGCCCCAAGAGATGCCCCTGGTACCTTTTTCATAGGCTTTTTTGAGTTTGGGCAAGGACGCAGGGGCCCCATGATCCCCTATTGCCCGGAGGCCCCATGCCTTGTCAGTCCGCCCCTGGTCAGAACAGTACAGATATCCCCCAAATGACCCCTTTTTGCAAAGTAGACAATCCGACATATTTCATAAGAGGCATGGCGAGTTTTTTGAAGTTGTAATTTTTTTTGTCAGAATTTTTCGGTAAATGAAAAAATTAAAAAAATTATTTTCACAATTTTTTTTTACATATTGTCACCAGTGCAGTACAGCGTCATCATATAACTGGCATGGCAGTGATCAGGACACTGACTGGTGACAGTACGGAAAAAGAATTGATAATTTTTTTTAATTTTTAAAAAAAAAATGTATTAGTTTAAATTTTTTATTACATTTTTTTCTCTTTTTTTAAGATTTGTTTTAGTAACATTGTACTACGAGGTACACGGCCGGTGACAGATCGGGCCGCAGAGCGGCCCTGCGGGCAGGCGCACTGCGCATGCCTGAAAGGATGCCATATGGTGTCCACCTGGAGGGACGAGCTGTTTGCCCGGCCGCCATCTGGCTATAGACCGGGCGGCAACTGGTTAACCACTTGCCCTCCTGAGGATTAACCCCCGTTCCTGACAGGCCATTTTTTGCGTAACGGCACTGCATTACTTTCATTGACAATTGCACGGTCATGCATCGCTGCACCCAAATTAAATTTACATCCCACGAATTGAGCTTTCTTTCGGTGGTATTTGATCGCCTGTGCATTTTTTATTTTTCGCGCTATAGAAAAAAAGAACGACAATTTATACGACAAAAATATTTTTGACTTTTTGCTATTAAACATGTCCAATAAAAAAAATTTTTACAATCAAATTTCCTCATACATTTAGGCCAAAATGTATTCTGCTACATATTTTGCTAAAAAAAATCCCAGTACGTGTAAATTACAGTACAGGAGATGACCACAGACTGCGGACAGTACAAGAGATGACCAAAGACTGCGGACACAGTACAGGAGAAGGACCAGAGACTGCGGACACAGTACAGGAGATGACCAGAGACTGCGGACACAGTACAGGAGATGACCAGAGACTGCGGACACAGTATAGGAGATGACCAAGAGACTGCGGACACACTACAGGGGATGACCAGAGACTGCGGACATAATACAGGAGATGACCAGAGACTGTGGACACAGTACAGGAGATGACCAGAGACTGTGGACACAGTACAGGGATGACCAAGAGACTGCGGACAGTACAGGGGATGACCAAGAGACTGCGTACAGTATAGGAGATGACCAGAGACTGCGTACAGTATAGGAGATGACCAGAGACTGCGGACAGTATAGGGTATGAACAGAGACTGCGGACATAGTACAGGAGATGACCAGAGACTGCGGACACAGTACAGGAGATGACCAGAGACTGCAGACAGTACAGGGGATGACCAAAGACTGCGGACAGTACAGGGGATGACCAGAGACTGCGTACAGTATAGGAGATGACCAGAGACTGCGGACAGTATAGGGTATGAACAGAGACTGCGGACATAGTACAGGAGATGAACAGAGACTGAAGACAGTACAGGGGATGACCAGAGACTGCAGACCTTTAGGGAGGGAGGGGGAGGGTACCTGAATTTGACTTCCGTGGAGTTCTCCTTCCTATACTGTGGGCACCCGACTTTGACAGCCGGGTGCCCACTGCGCGTGCACGAGAAGCGCTGCGCTTTGTGAATGGCCCGGCGTCTTTTGGGACCTGTCATATGTCCCAGAAGACACCGGACCATTCACAAAGCGCTTCTCGCGCATGCGCAGTGGGCACCCGGCTGTCACAGATGCCGGGGCGGGAAGAAGCCGGCACGGGAAGACTACAGCGCTGGACAGAGGAACAGGTGAGTTCCTGCCGCAGAGAACAGCTGAGCGGCCGGCCCGGTATTCTGACATGGTGGCAGGGGAAATACCGGACCAGCCGCTTTATATTCACTCCATAAGACGCACTTTTTTTGGGGGAAAAAAGTGCGTCTTATGGAGCAAAAAATACAGTATGTAAAAATATATGTTAAAATGACTTTTTTATATGTTAAAAAAAATCTGACTATATTTTAAAAAAATATATTTTTAAATATATGCTTTAGAAAATATATTTAAATTTACATTTTTTAGAATACATGTTAAAATGTATTAGCATAGGCCAATATATTGTAAATATATGTCACATATATTTATTTTATTTATTTCAGGTACTTGTATAGCACCGTCAATTTACACAGCGCTTTACATATATATATATATTGTACATTCACATCAGTCCCTAACCCTCAAGGGGCATACAATCTAAGCTCCCTAACTTACATTCCTACATACTAGGGACAATTTAGACAGGATCCAATTAACCTAGCAGCATGTCTTTGGAGTGTTGGAGGAAACCAGAGGAAACCCACGCAGGCACAGGGAGAACATGCAAACTCCAGGCAGGTAGTGCCGTGGCTGGGATTTGAACCAACGACCCTAGTACTGCCAGGTGGAAGTGCTACCCATTTAGCCACTGTGCTATATAATTTTCTTTCTAAATATATTGGAAATATATTTCTTTTCCATGTGGGAAGGGCACTGGACAGGAATGGGTTAATGTGAGGGGCGAACAAAGGGTTAACTGTGTGCTGTTTCACTGTAAGCTCTGTGTGTGTGCTTCACTGTAATCACACTGCTTTGGATGACTGTCCTGTGCACAGTCATCCAAAGCAGTGTGCAGGAGCTGACAGGGAGGAGAACTGTATTGTTTACATGCAGTTCTCCTCCCCGTCGGAGATGCTCAGCAATCACCGGGCGCCGGCGAGTAATCACCAGCCGGGACCCGGTGATTGACAGCCATGGCCGCGAATGGCCCCCTACCCTGCCCAGAAATGCAAAATCACATATATATGTGATTTTGTGCACCCATGCCGCCCTGTAGCAGTATATCTGCTATAGGGTGGTCGGGAAGCGGTTAATCCCACTTTAAGTGTTTAGAGTTAGAGTATGCAAAGTGTTAATTCTAATGTTCAAATAAGAGGTTAAGTGTCAGTGCTATGTAAGAAGTTACAGTATACTGTATGTCAAGCCAAAAAACTATTTTTCTTAATTTTGGACAGAATGTGGACAAATTTAGAACCCCCATCTGGTTTTTACTGTCAGGGTTGTAACTGTTTTGCTAGACAGGAAGTGAAGGAAAATCTGCAACAGGATCACCACCTATCTTTTCCCTACTCTGCAATATAGTATTTGTATTCCTGTCTTTGTTGATTTTAGAGTTCCCCTAACTTCCTGTCCGGGGAAATTTCAGCAGGACAGGAAGTGAGGGGAAATCTGTCTGCCTGAGCCCAAATTAGCAGTAAAAATATCCAAAACTAAGAAAAAAGTTTTGCCAGGATATACACTTTAAAGTGTTACTAAACCCACAACAGTAAAATCAGTTTGTATATGCAGTAAAGCATGCTTGTTACACTCACTGTGGAACCACTGTAGATCCTGTCTTCTCTGATCCTCCCTTTCTTCTACTGTCACCAATCCATCTGCTGATAGAACAGGGCCTTGGGGGAACGCTACACATGCTCAGTTTGGTGTGTTTTGCTAGAAAGTTTTTTTCTTCCTTGGGAGATTGCATATGATCAGCACAGGACCAATCTGCACTGTCCAGACAGAGGGTTATGCACACCACCCCCCATTGATTTCTCCGTCACATCCAACAACGCTACCATCAAAAAACCCGCCCTGCAGGCCAGAGTACTGGGTGTTATTCTGGACTCCAACCTATCCTTCCAGCCCCAAGTCCACTCTAACAAACAAACTCGTGCAGACTCCACCTCAACATCGCCAAAATCCGCACGTTCCTAACCCCAGAAACCACTAAACAGCTCATCCACTCTCTCATCATATCACGACTCGACTACTGCAACTCCCTCCTCACTGGCCTGCCTCGCCGATAGCTATCCCTGCTTCAGTCGATCCTGAATACGGCTGCCAGACTCATTCACCTTTCCAACCGCTCTGTCTCCGCCACCCCCCTCTGCCAATCCCTCCACTGGCTTCCGATTGCGCAACGGATCAAATTCAAAATCCTAACGCTGACGTACAAAGCTGTCCACCATACTGCCCCGAACTACATCACTGATCTAATATCCAAGTACCACCCAGCACGCACACTCCGCTCCTCACAAGACCTCCTTCTCTCTAGTTCCCTGGTCTCCTCCTCCCATGCCCACCTCCAGAACTTCTCCAGGGTGTCACCCATCCTCTGGAACTCCCTGCCCCAACCCATCAGATTATCACCTACTCTCCTCTCCTTTAGCGCACCCTGAAAACCCATCTCTTCAGGGAAGCCTACCCCACCCCCTGCTAACTTGCCGACCTCCTCCACTCTTCCTACCACTCCATCCCCCACAGCTATCTCCTCCTGTGCCACCACCCCCTCCCTCCTAGATTGTAAGTTCGAAAGAGCAGGGCCCTCGAACCCCTCGTATATCACATTGTATTGGTATTGTTCTGTCGCATGTTCTGTCCCCCTTTGTAATGTACAGCGCTGAGCGAACTATTGGCGCTTTATAAATACTGTATAATAATAATAATAATATGCAGCCTCATAGAACAATGAAAATCCTCCTTCAAGCTTTAGCCAGTGTTCTGCTGGACACTGATAGAAGTCACAAGACAGTTCTAGCTGCTGATGAGAAAAGGTATTTAGCATTTTATTTTTACTAAAATCATTGCAATTCCATGTTCTGTGTACTGTGGGAGACCAAATAGAGTGAATGCAGGGTCCTGGGTTTAGTAAGGCTCCATGTACACAGGACGTTTGGAAAACTCTTCTGAACGATGGAAACTGACTGCTGGAAAATGTAGGTTAAAAAACGTCTGTTTAGCCACGTTTGCACATCGCGTTTATGCACATTTATGAGCGTTTGCGTTTAGAAGCGTTTTTTTTTTAAGATAATCTCAGGAGACCTTCCAAAATGCTCAAAATGCACTGAAAAACAGTAAAAAAATTAACTATTTCAGACATTTTGAGAGAAATAGAGAGAGCAGAAGCAGAGAGAGCAGTATGTGTTGAGATTACCTGTCTTTTCTGGTTGTATTCACTATGGATCCCATCATGAGCATAATGCGGCGCATTCTACCATTTTTTCCTTCAACGCAAAACCTGGAACTGACTGCGCTGGTGTACTGGGTCCATTTGAATACATGGAAAACACTTTGCATGCATTTCTGATGATGAAAAAAGGCTCTGGACGGCATCTGGATATGGAACAGTTTAAAAAAAAACGCTTCTAAATGCAAATGCTTATAAACACGGTTAGCCGCGTTTACAAGCGTTTGGTGTTTGAGATGCTGATAAAATCTACTCCTGAACGCAAGTTTGGTGCGTGAAAAAAAACGACTGTAAACTCAACTGCCTGTAAATGACTGTAAATGATATAGTGTACATGAACACATAGGAAAACATTAGGGAGAGTTCAGGAACTGCTGAAAAAAATGCTGAAAAGCTCCTAGATGTGAGTTTATTAGCTGCAGTGTACATGGAGCCTTACACTTTAAAAATGAATTAAATCAATCAATGAATTAAAGCATTTTTAGTTTGTGGTACTCAGGTACAGTTAACTCTAACTTACCCAGCCTCCATCTTAAGAGAATCCTGTATAACAAGATATATGAAGGCTGGTGTTTTTGACTACCATTTACAGGGTCTTGGTTTTAGTAACACTTTCATTGCTTAAGTGGAACTAAATTCCCTCTTAGATTGTTAGGGCCCTCCTAACCCTCTTGTATTGAACTGTATTGTTGCTGTATTGTCTCCCGTTATATATTGTAAAGTGCTGAGCAAACTGTTGACGCTATATAAATCCTGTATAATAATAATAATAACTAAAGTACAAAATACTCACCTTGGACAATGGACAAGGTCTTGCTAGTGCCGGCATCTTCACCCTGGCTTCTTCCAGGTGCTGGTCTTCAGCAATCTTTTTTACCGGGCACGGGATAATGTCACTCCCAACACATGCACAGTGTACATTCTCCAGAAACTTGCAAACTGGCACGTAATCGTATTTAATTGCAGAAGACACATTGCATCTTCTGCAATAAAAAGTCAGTCTGTTTGCAATTTCTTCTATTCCAATTCAACTCAATTCTGTTTTAAGAGTAAGTGTTTAAAGGTAAAGGTTAGGTGCCACATTATTTATTATGGTGCCAATAAATGTTAGGGATATGTAATAATTTGGGCAGAAGGGTGCCTAAATGATAGGTTGCATGCCACCTTGTTAGTAACTTGATTTACTGATTACAAAGAAACTGCTAATATGGGGTTTCAGAACTTCAGAGACAATTGTGAAAATGGAATTTATAGTAAAAGTCCAGTTATTCATCTACTGCATAATTGTTTTCAATATTTAGGAAATACATTTTATATATTCATATGTATCTTAAAGAGTACTGAAATTAGTCTAGCAAACAAACAAAACAAAAACAATCCTACTAGATGTTTAAAAGATTAATGGGTGTCTATTGTGTGCACTATTTTTTGTCACGGTTGAACCTGAGTGGGTCTTTTTTTCCTTTGACTCCTCTAGTAATGAAAGGGTTATTGAGAAAAAGCCAAGTGGATGTGGATGAATCTGTCACTTCATGTTGGAAACATAACAGAAGTTGACAGCGTGACCTGCTACACACACTGTCAGACTAATGTCTTTTCCTGAAAAAAAGAATCAGCTCAGGGTGCACACACTATGTAGCTTTAACAATTTATACAGTCTGATGGGTATATTCAGTAAAACCACACAATAAATAAATAGCTAGGTACAAAGTGCAATTTCCATAGCAACCAACCAGAATTCGTCATGTACTACACAAGTTTCAGTGAAGACAAATGATTGCTTTCTCTATGTTACTGCAAGAAAGATGTAATCCAACTCTTATTCAGCTTC